CCTTTTAATTTGGTGTTTAATATTTCTTCCAGTAGGGCTGATCTTTCCGCGTAATTAATTTTTTCCATGGCGTACGTACTGGCGATTATAAATTCTTGCATCTTCTGACGCGAATGTCCGTCTATTTCCGGTATCAGACTCCGTGCATCTTTTAGACGTAGGTATCCCACGGGTCGATCTCTTAATTCGCGTACGTCTGTCTGTGTTCGTCCGTACGTTACGTTCAGTGTTTCGTTTCGATCGTCGGGTCGCGCAAGTCGAAAATTGTCATAATCATAGTGCAAAATTTCTATCCTACTCATTCTATCTTGCAAGCCCGTAATTGCTTCGAACATTATGTCTAATAGTTCCTCTTGTCTATTTCGAATCGGTTCGGTTGATGCGTGCGCGTGTTCACCTACATTATTTCTGAGACGATTTATCTCCGCGTTCGCTACTGGGTAATCGTTTAGGACATCACCGTTCCTGCGCGGGGTCGACGGTTGCTGCGTCGCCATATTTCCTGATGCTGAATTTGCGCGTGCGTTTTCAAATAAATTACTCTCGTACGAGATTAATGAGAGTTCTCTTTGTTCGTTCCTATTATCGGTTAATAAAGATCTAAATCCACGAATGGGAATACGCGCTCGATAACGATATTCGGATGTGGTTCCGAATCAGATGCGCTGTCGCTTGAGTATCGCGATTCTAACACACGGCGCATGTTGTTGCCTATGTCTCCTACGGCTTCTTCGACAATACGCACAGGACTTAATTGACTAATTCTCGTCCGCCTTGTGCAGGTTCGCTGTATATGCATGAAGGTGTCGAGACGTTAACCCTATTTTGGTTACTTTCGCTTCCGGACATTTATCCGTTACATAAAATTTTTCGGACTAACATTAACGCTGTTAATCGCATGTCGCTTGTAGTTCGCTGTTTGCTGAGTCACCGTTGTGGTAGGTCGCGCCTCTCAGGTTACACTGTTATCGTCCTGGTCATCGGCTGCTATACCGGGTGCTCGCTTGGTGCTGCGATCTGGCTTCTGTTTTCCTTGGACTGCTTCTTCGTCCTTTTCAATTGATCCACCTTATTTATAGGCTGCTGTCAACAGGCTTATTTATAGCTGTCAACGCTTCCGAGTCCTAGTCAGCTGCGTGGATCCCATCGCTGCCACCAATTTGTTGTGCCGCTACTACCACGGCACGGTTCGAGGATCCACAAGGACTTGGGAGCACATTAATAAACGTACTAACTTCTGTATTTTTTATTAGAAATATATATTTATTTTCACTCTATTTCACAGTGTCACATTTAATGGAAATCACAATCACTTAGTTGTAACTGCATCGCGATATACGTATATATTTTTTAATAAAGTCGACGGACAAAGTAACGCGACGTCTTTCGTTGTAAATTCTGACCGATGACCGCGTCCGCGATCGCGCTTTTATCCCATATTTTCGGGGCAGCCTTGGGCCTTCCGAGTTGGCCCGTCAGCGTTCCGCTTATCGAACGAGGCCAGCTTCCGCGCAACTTGAGTCCGCGTTTCTATAGTTTAATATTTATTTCCGCTCAGGATCTTCTTTTATATTACTTTAGTTTGATAATTTAGGCAATCAGTTAATTTCATATCATTTATTCCATTATTATTATCGGCACGTTCGTGGCGCAATTGTCACTTGTGCAATTCAGCACTCGTGACAGGAATAAACTCATTTTATTATATACATACCGGTCCATTGGCTTTTCAATCCGTATTAAAAAAGAATGTCTATACACATTTTATTATACTACATGTTATAATCAGAATTCTATGTTCAAAAGATTTGAAGGAGTATTTAAACTATGCACAGGATCTGATTATTTTTTTTATTAGAAAATTTATACAACTTTATGGAATTTAAAATGTGTCACATAATATCCACAATCTCGTACATCTTGTTGACGATGTCAGAAAATTTAGACCACTGGACAATTTCAGTGCGTTCAAATTTGAAAATTATATGCAAAAATTAAAAAGGTATGTTAGAAAAGCTGATAAACCTTTGCAAGTTGTACGAAGATATGTTGAACAAGAAATAAACTCATCTTCTGTATCCTCAACTATTTTATTAAATTCTGTTCTGACACATTTAAATTTAATGTCTTTACATTATGATGGTCCGCTTATACTTGATTGTAAAAATCCGCAATATAAAATGGTGAGGTACAATGAAATTGTAATTAAAGCAGAGTCACTTGCGGACAGTTGTTGTGATTTGAATGATGGTACTATTGTTTCTGTAGCAAATATCGCATATTGTACAAAAAGAAATGTTCCCGTAATTATTGGTCATGAATTGGTGAGAAAAGAAGATTTATTTAATGTTCCTTGTCCATTTTCGTTGTTGGAATTTATACTGTGCATTTATGCTCAGATCTAAAATCGTGGCTATTACAAGACGTCATAAAAAAATATATTAAATTACCATATGAAAAAGACAAATATGCAGTTTTTCCACTGATACACATGATGTAATATGTATCTTGATACAAACAGAATGGCCCAGAAATTTTATGCAGTCGTTGAATTTGAAGATGGACTTCAAGTGGTTCCAAGTACATAATTGGTTAGACATAAATGTGAAAGCCGTCATAAAAGCCGTGTGGCCACATTTCCTTAGCGATAGCAGATATTACAAAGCCGTAAAATGTATGGAGATACCGGAATCAACTTGGAAACAATATACCGTTTTAAAAATCTATTGGACATATCGTAAGTAATGTGATATTTTTTTCTGAAGTATTATTATTACTTTTCACATGTAACCATGTATAACATATTATATTTTTCTCTTATAAGTATTATTATTATTTTCCGCATATTCCATTGATATATTTTCTGTAAGGTTTTTTTTATTAATTAGAAAAATAACGTTAGTTGCGTTTCATTGTATGTGTCGTAAATATGCCTAGTAAGATTGATAGCGCTGTAAGTAATCTTAATGCGTTCCGTAACAAATCAACTTATATTATGATTTTCGTCTGCTTTGTCTTGGATTTTATCAATTTAATCTTTGATTAATGCTACTAACCTTCCAACTAGAAATAATATTTTCAATACATGTAACGAAATGTACCCATTATATATCAAGTTTTTATTACAATTTTATTATTATTTTGAAGAAAATTATGAAGTCGCAAGAAGAAAATTGAGACAAGCTGAGGAAATATCCGATCTTAACACTTCTGGTACGGAACAAGAAGAAGTACAGAAAAAGTCTAGGAAAATCAGAGCTGCTAGAGACTTGGACGTACGAGGGGCACTACTTATATTTTGAGCCTTGGCAACACTGAGTGTTGTCAGGTGCCATCTGACGTTTCCACTAGAAAGTTTGACATTTTTGACCATAACCTTCTTCAGAACGTTTTGTTATTTGAGCGCGATTTGTATTGTTTACAGTCACTTGAAAATTGTGTCTCAGCGAAAAAATGGAATTAACTCGTGAAAATTTTCGTTCAATGATTTATTATGACTTTCGACGTGGATTATCAAGACAGGAGTGTATCGATCAACTTACTTCCACTTTTGGCGATAAAGCCCCATCCTTTGCCACTGTGAAACGCTAGTATAACGAATTTAATCGTGGTCGCCGTTCGCTCACCGACGAAAGTCGTGAAGGTTGTCCAAAATCAGTTGTGTCAGAAAACATTGATGCTGTGCAAAAACTAATAATACAAGATCGTCATGTGACATACTGTGAGATTGAGACAACCTTAGGCATTAGTTCCACCAGCATATATAAAATATTGCATGATCATTTAGCCGTAAAAAAGGTTTGTTCTCGTTGGATCCCACATAATCTGACAAAATCTCAAAAAGATGCTCGTATCGATTGGTGCAAACAAGTGGTTCGAACGCATGCAAAAGTGTATAGATCATAAAGGAGAATATTTTGAAAAACAATGAAGTCATTTTCAATGACAAATTACTGTTTTTTTATTATTAGGCTCAAAATATAAATAGTGCCCCTCGTATTAACATGCGAAGAAGAGTCAGCAGATGACAATAATTTTACGTTAGATGTTCCTAAAATTACGGATGTTTCCATCGAAAGAGGTAATTCTATAATTGTGGATATTACACAAGAATCACAACTCCCACAAATTGCACAAAAAGGTAACAGCACAATGCTATATTATGCCCGTACTGCATGTGTTATGCCCGTATCGCATCGTCGCCCGACGTTATACGTCGGAGTTCGCCGTCATCAAAGGAAGAAACGCGTTGCCTGGCAACAAGCTGTCGATGTTTAAACAGATTTGGAGAGAAGCTGTCGAAACGATCGGACGTGTCTTCTCATCCGCAAACTTATACCTCGTTCTTTGTGCTCCAATACGGAGTATTTATGTGTTCTCTTGTGCAATAAACGTTTCTTGTTCCTAACGACATACTCGTGTACTTCATTCCGGCGGCTCGGGAGTGCGCGTTCGCGACGCGAACGGATTCCGCGAGACGGTCGTGTGTACGAACTGACGGACGGACATAACAATTTGGGGGCTCGTCCGGGATAATTCGTCGAGACCGTGGAATGTTACGTTCTCCAATCGCCACCCGAAGCAAGATATCAACAGAGGATTTAGAAAGTGCATCGAGGGCCGTTACGGAACAGAGAATTCCACCGATGGAGCAGTCGTTGGACACGGCAGCACAGGAAATCTCTCCAATGACGCTGATATTGCAAACGGTTCTGCGAGAGGTACAGCTACTTCGCAAGGAGCAGCGGCGTACCAGAGAGGAGCATATGGAGTCGACACGACGGAGAGAGGCAGAGATCAGACAACTTCGAGAGGAGCTACGCAGCGTAAAACAGATAAGTCCTTCCATGAATAAAAATATTGTCACGGACGCGGGTGATAGTGGTGACGTGCATCTTCCGGAGAGGGACGGGTGTGCCGTAGGTGCGAGTGAGCGCGTCGGGTGTGCCGCGAATGCATGCGAACGCATCGAGTTTCGCGCTTCTTTTCGCGCTGTGTCACGGCCGTCGTCGGCCGACGGAAGACTCGCGGACATGC